TAAAAAAAAATTTGCTACTTTAAATTGGAATTTTAATGCGCCAAGTTCATTGTTTGTCAGTGATCTTTATGCTTGTTTTTTCTTGATAATTTTTTGTTCTTCTACTTTTTTTTCAGCTTTAATAATAGTGCACAGTGTGAGTAGTTTCTTTATGAATAGATTTAAAAAAATAGAATAAAACTTGGAAAGGAAAAGACAAGCAAGCAGTTTATGGAACGGTTATAACTATCTAGTATATTTCTGCTGGTGACGCTGGTAACAGTAATAATGACAATAGAATTGTGTGCAAGAATTGAAGTGGAAAAGTTGGTAATGTTTTTTTGGTCTGAAACCAGAATGACGATAAAATAGAGGTGGTAAATATGTGATCAAGGATCAATTTCTTGCTTATCTATCTGCTTTGGAATCTAGGACTTTTTTCTTAGAACTACAAGTTTTTCAGGTTAACGTGGAACCGGAATTACCTTTTGATATAGCTTTTGTCAGAATGATTGGTGTATGGTAGTGAATAAAATATTTCAGTCTGCTTACTAAACTGGTTTTTTTTTTCTATTTTGGTTTACATGTTTGGGAAGTATAACAAGAAGTTATAGCTTAGTTAGGCAAGTTTTGAAAAGAGATTTTTAGAAGAATGCGACTGATTGTTACTATGTGGAATGTATAATTGGGAAACCACGGTTTGGACATCTTACGAAGATAAGGAAAGAAGAGGGATGGGAGGCGGCAGAGTGAAAGGACGGATTCGTAGAAAATATAAACTTTTGATTCTAAATTGATTTTCTTTTAGTTTTCGATGGTTTTTTTTTTCATAATTGTCAATATGGTGAAGATTTTTTACCCGTGTTTTAGTGTAACCATTCATACGTTTTTATTGGTTTTTCTCTCTTTTTTTTCGCAGTTTTTCATTACACATTTACTCATTTAGTTATTTATTCACTTTTTTTTCTTCTTTTTTTCACTTTTTTTTTTTTATTTTTACAACGGTATTTGAGAATTATGTTTTTTGAATTGTTTTTTTGGTAGGTTGTAAGGAATTTAATTTTGTTATCTTATGCCTGTTTGATTGCTGCTGATAATGAGTGAAACGGAAGAAAAAGGGAGAAGTCGTCTATTTGCTTTTGGCAGTGTTTTTGCTGCGACCACAACTGCTCTTTTTTTCTGTTCACTTCCATCTGAAACTTATTTAACTGAAATTAAACGTTGATGTTGATTGTTGTTGCTGTTGTTATTCGTCGGTGATAATGACAATGATGAAATCGACATAGGCATCGTTATTTTTGGTTCGATCTCTTTCCTTGTGGTGAACAAAGAGAAAATAGTTTCTCATTTCTTTGATATCATTGTTTCCGGAAAGTACACACATGGATTGACGTTTCTTCTACTTATGGAATATATTTCTCGGATTTGTTTTTTAATGCTTATTCTATTTTTTGTATTTGGAGAAAGTTTGAAAAGTCAAGTACTTTTTATGAGTGAGTGGGAGGAAGGATGAGGGATTACAAAAGGAGGAAAGAGGGAATGTAGAGGAAGAAAGGGGGCAAAATTAGTTTTTCACGTAGTTCCGTCTTTTCTTTTTTTGCAATCAGCAGTTTTTACATTGTCGTTGCCATATTGCTGTATGTGTATGATGAAACAATGGGGGGAAAAAAGGAAAGAAGGAGAAAAAGGTAAGAAATCTATTAAGAAGTGACAGAATTTTTGACAGCTTGGCTAGCTTACTTTTCGCTTGTTGTTTGAGGTATACATCTAAAAATGAACAGCAATCGAGGAGGGATGGATTGGAAAAATGGCAAATCAGATGATATTT